GGCTTTTTAACCTTCCACCAAGATCATAAGAAAGATTAAATAAAATCTGAGAAACTTTTTAGATACCTTACTATATTCCGCACTGGATTTTCAAGACTCTTTTTTATTTACCATTTTTTTCCATCATTAAAAGTGGAAAGTTTCTTTTTTGTTGTTGATAATAAGCCTTCTTAACTTTTGCTTAGTTTAATCATTTAAATGATACCTACAAAAATAAAAACAAAATTTTTAACGATTACGTAGAAATTTGTTTTTTGAAACTGCTTGTTGACTATATAAGTGGCTTCTTCTTTTATAAAAAATTTACCGGAACGTGTCTGATGTTTTTTTTATTCCTTAATGCAGATTATTAAATACAAACTTACCACGATGAGAAGTGAGATGTTAGAATGTTACGATTTATCTTTATTAAAACCACTTTCACTGTTTTTGGAAATTAAATTAGTTAAACATTTAGCTTTATAAGCTAGCCCAGTATTTAACCACAAATAAACTTTTTAGTAGACTCCAAGACGATCGAAATATTGTTCACCTCTGCGTACTTTCATTTTGTTTCCTTAACGATGTTCTCGAGAACATGAAGACTGATCTTTAGCATACTATTGACGTTCTTCTGGATGTTGCAAAATTTGATTTTCTTTGCGACTTCTTCCTCCATTTGTTGAAGACATTCTGCTTCTTTACGATTTATCTTTATTAAAACCACTTTCACTGTGGTACATATTTACTAAAATTTATCTCTTTTCCATGAGCGGCATTCAACATGTCAACTTCATGCTGATAATGAATGGAATAAATCTTTAGGTGAATAATGAAACGGGGAAACAGCTGATTGTGCGCGCGCTGTCCACAAGACCTGCCCTCTATGAACGCGCACCAAAAGCTTCTAAATTCAATTAAATAAGAATATATTTTTATTTTTAACAGATAGGAAAGCATTAAAAATTTATAAATATTGTTTTTCTTAATTTAATTATTTATTTAATGTTTAATTGATAAATAATAATTGAGATATCCGAGAATTAAAGTGGAATTATCCACACAATAATGAAGACACTGATTTATTTCGCTTTCAACTGACGTCATTAACGTAATATGTACTCTGAAACAAAGGACACAGGTGCACTAAAGAAAGCGGAAGTAATCTTGGATTTTCCATAAAGCCCGCCTCTTCTCCCGAGTGTAATTAATATTTTCACTTTATTATTGGATTGCAGTCTAATCGTAATTATTTTTCTGACAGTCTCTTCTTTTTACCCTTTCAACAAAATTATAATATTTTTAAACAAAAAAAATTTTCCGATTTCAATTTTAAAATATAAGATGCCTATAAAAAAATATATAAAATAAAAAAAACATTAAAAAAAAACTATTTCTATTGTTACTTTAAAAAAAGTTGTTACTTGAGCAAGAAAATGTGTTTAGAGGTAAGAAAATTTTCTCTGTCTAACTGTGGGGAAAAAATTCACCATCAAATTTTCTCAACTCCAACTTTTATAGTGAACATTTTTCTTAGTGAGACTTTTTACAGGTAAGCCGGTGTGTCTCGGTAAAACATATCCTGTAGGAAAAACAGTATTTGAATAATGAATTTTATGCAGACAATTTTTTTATTATACTATCTATACCTTCTGAAAACCACACCTTAGTAAAAATTTCCTTAGAGGAAAAAAAAGAGTGATAAATACGAAAGAATGCTAAGTTTCTTTTTCTTTGAGAACTAAAAGAGTGGTTTGAGGGAAAAGGGTTGATTTTTTTCACAAGATTTCCCAAGAGACTGACGTTTAAAACTTTCGTTAAAAATATTTTTCTTTCTTTTAATTCCAAATAATCAATTTAGATCCTTAAAAATTGCAAACAATATTTTTTATTACAAGACGAAAAAAAAATATTTACTAACTTTTTTAAAAATCTTCTATAGCGAGTTTTTCAAAGCGAACAATTTTAATTATGCATTCATTTCGCGTGGGCATAAAAGTGTGATAAATAAATTTCAAGGGGTCATTGAGAGTGAAATAAATTGCAAATATTTACCCAATGGAAATTGATTGAGGAGAAATTTGATTATTCTGTACATTAAGTTCCATTTAATTATTCGATTCTCTCTTTATAAAGTCAATAGTAATAATTCTCTTAGCATTAGAACAAGCAGGAATATTGTATTCCTAACTAATTTATTGAAAGGGTAGACTTACAAGGGACAAATAATAATCTAGTGCGTCGAGTACTATCTACATTGAGAAAATGAGACTATCTACGTAAATGCTCCAAGCAGGTGAGTATTGATCCGCGGGGTGTGCAGGGATAAAAGTACATATATACCAAACTGAAATGCGAATCTACCATCAGTTTGAGTCGAAGACTTTTTTCGCCACATATTTGATTCTAAACTATTTCCCGTAAAATATTTTAAAAAATATTAAAAATTTATTTTTATTTTATATTTATTTTTAAAAGCATTTATTCCTAAGAATTAATATCTAATTATAAATTGACAGCATAATTTGAAACATAAATATTCATATAAATAAATTTAAAAATAATTAATTTAGACGCACAGTTATCTGTTTTCCGGATTACAGTTGACAGTAAATCTGTAAATTTCTGTTTATTCTGTTTCAGACGCTGCTGAAGAACCATCGTCCAGGGCAAAAAAATCCAAATAGTGAAATTAAGTTTAGAAAATGTGTGCTACTGTGAAAAAGTGGGTTAAATAAAGATAAATCGTAAAATGTGACAAGAATAAAACCCAAACTTTAATTTTGACTTGCGGTAAGTTTATGTCCTGAAAGAGAGCAAATTTTTCGTCTACGGCTATTAATACACCAGATAGGGTCTAAAGTCCTGTTTTAGTAGCGACTTATTTTCCAAAAATTTCCTTCGCTCTAATTTTAAATCTACTTTATGTTACTTCATAAAAGGTTATATTTTTTCTTTCTCCACTGGTAGTATATAATAAAAAGTAGCCCTTAGATCCAGATTAATTTTCGAAATTAAATCCAGATTTTGATAAATAAATAATAAAAAAATAAAAGGAGTATCCAAAAATTTATAAACTTTTATTTTTATAGTTAAAAAAAATCAAAACTTTCCCGTGAAGAATTTTCGAGATAAATATTTTTTTACCCTGTTAATGTAAACTGTCGACGAGATATAGAAGTGTATAAAGTGTATAATCAAAAGCAGTGCTTTCCGGAGCAAAACGAGAAAATTCAAGGTGACGGACCCGAGCATTGCTTATGCGAATTGACATTTCGTTAGGATCTTGTTTTCCAACCTCGGGGGAATAAAACGACCAATTGCATTTGGTCGGAATGCGAGCAACAGGCAAACCAATGAACTCCATTCAAGTTTGAAGTTCAATTACAGAAACAAAACTCGTTTATATAAAGTAATTATTTTCCCGCAGTTCATTTTTTATACAAACAAAAAGTTTATCAAAAAAAAATTATTGTCATTCTAAAATAATAATAGCGAAACCGAAAAGTCGACAGGTGTCAAGGTTAGAATTTGATATCTTTACGGAAAGCTGGCAACCTTGGGGAAAATGGAGCAACAGGCATCACTGGCATCTTTTCAAATTCAAATTAAACGAATTGCGGTTCATTTTGAATTTATTTTTAAAAAAAAATTATTATGAACAAAATATACCAAAAATCCTAATATTTATTGTTAGGATTTTTAAATATTTTGAAAATAACTTTAAAAGAATTTTAAACGAATTTTAAAAAGAATTTTGTTTCAATAGACCTAGGGATTCAATGACCCAATATAAAATAATTGGTGAGGGAAAAAAAATCTTTTGTTTTGTATGCTTAGAAACTATTATTATCTGATAAATATATAATAGAATCAGTAAATGAAAGGTCAATGTGTAAAGCGACATTAAACTCTTTTATTGGTTTTGAAAGCATATGTGTGATGAAACTTTTATTAGATCCAGATAAAAGTATTAGTCTGAATGATGAATATCAAACTTTTATTACATCGTATTCGAGGTTTTTTTCAGCCCCCTTCAAATAAATGCTCGTTTCGTTAAATTCCTCGGAACATTTTATTTCACCAAATGCCTCTCGATATTTTATTTACCTAAAATTTTTTTTTCCTACCATAATTAAAAAAAGAGAACAATATACTGAAAATAATAGATTTTACTTTAAAGCCAAGGTAGTTTCAGTTTGAATTTTTTTTTTCTTTTGGCCAAAAAGAAATAAAATTAAAAATGAAACCAAACTATTCCAGAACGTTTTCTCTCTGATTCGCTCGATGAACATATAATTTATAGATTGAAAGAGAGATGAAGTTGAAAGGAAAATAAAAGAAATGGTAAGAGAAAAAAAATTTCTCTTTCTCTCAGAGAAAAGCGCACACGGACAAACAAACAAAAAAAAAATGATTGAAAATTCATTTAGAATTTTTCTAATAAAGGAAAAAAAGATTTTTATTTGTAAAATTTTTTTTTATATTATAAAAAGGGAATGTTGGATTTGTGCAAAATTGTACATATTATCCGGTTGGAAATAACTTTCAATGAAATTGGACCAGAATACAGTAGCTTTCGGTGCATAAATTCTGAATCTAATGGACCGTGTTACAATTAAAATGTTCCACTTTATGCAATTAGCTCGTCTTTGTCACACTGGACATTGTATTCTTTAATTATCCATTAAAAAAATATTTTATCAAGAAATTTTTTTTTTAATTTTCTTTTTTATAGAATTAAATGAATTAAAAGTTAAATGAATCGAAAAAAATGAATTTGTTGAAAGTATAAAAGATAATGTAAGAATAAAGTACAAGAGTACAAAAAGATATTATCCTTTTGTACTTATTCTTACATTTTTTTTTAACATAGTCAATGTTCAAATATTTATATATTTCAGTAGAAGAAACTTTTTGGCCCCTAATTTTTTACCCCAATTGTGTATTTTTATAAAAAAGTGAAAAGCATTTTTATCCCTCGAAAACCATTACGAAGAAGATTTAGTATTTCAGCTTACCTTTTGCTGCACAAGTCTTCGAGATTATGTTCCACGATTCTTATCTCCTCCCGCAGTTGGTGAGTTTCTATTTTTCTTTCTCGTCTTCCAGTTTTCAGTCTTGCCTCTGAAATAAATTTAATGTCTTTATTCACTCTTCGTAAAGAATAATAATTACAAAACCGGGGTTTTTCAACATAATACCTACGCGAAAATGTATTTTTAGAATGGAAAATTAATTTCGCAAATTTTCCCCACCAGTTGTAGATTAAAATAATTAATGAATTTTAGAATTTTTAATTTTCCATTCTAGGAAAGAAAATTTTTGTTTTATTTTTAAAATCAAAAAACGTAAGGGAAGATTTTAAAGTAAAGACATAATTCAAAATTGTCATTCATTCCCATATGAGAATATAAATAATTCTCGAGTAGCTTCAAAAACTTGAAGCTACTCACGATTTCGAATTGGAAAAGGGGAAACGTAAATTCAGATCGTATTCTCGTCTATTCGCTTTTGTATGAAGAAAGTCTTTTGAGAAGGAACATTTCGAGTCGACAAGACCCATTGGCAGATTTGCAGTAAAGTTTATTGAGAAACTTGGTCTGCAGTTTAACCACGACCAAGAAGAATGGATGAGAAAAGGTAACTTTTCGTAGAGTATATAAGAAAACTCGATGGAACAATCAACTTTGATAAATTTGTACCATAAATTAATTAAAAATTTCCAACTTTCAAGTAAATGAAATTGTTTTTCTTTTTTTTTATGGAAAAAAGTAGTTGCTGAAAAGTAGGAAACCAATTTTCTCTTATACATTTTCTTGTCGACAAGTAGAGAAAATAAGTCAAAACCTCCTAAGGGAAATATACAATAAAAACTAATATTTCCAGTGTCCGGTGGGCAGAATAAGAAAAGGGAATTTGTAGGGGAATTTTATTTCTCCAAGAGAAACGGTGGGGTTATTTATTTCGATATCCGTATAGAGAAAGCTTAATTAGGATGAAAAAAAATCTTCTCTAAAACCTTGAGTCAAAAAAGTAAACTTCCTTAAAAAAAACTTTTTAGTTTACTCTTCCTCTAAATTTCAATTTACTTCAAGTCAAAATTTACCTTGTCAAAATTTTACAATTTATCTTCCTTATAACAAATTTTCCCTCTGGCTTCTAAATCTAAAATACTAAACAAAACTAATATTGAAAAGATCTTGCGGGAGAATTTATGTCCTTGAATTTACAGAGTGTAAGGATCCTTGAAATTTGCTCGGGACTATTCGGAACAATTGCGAGCTACTGAATGTAATGGCGATATTAACAATGTTTAATCGCTCTAGACATTGTGAAGGTATGCAACTGAAAGCCCTTTTCCCATTAAGATCAATGCTCTCATTTGAGGAAACCGTCCTGAGGGCTCGCGAGCTTCATTTCAAATCTCTACCTGACTCGATTTCGCATCACTTCACTTCCATTTTGTGGCTTTATGAATCGCTCTTCGTAGCTTCTTCGAAATTGATCGCAATATTGACGATGGTTGAAATAACCCAAACTTATATTAGTTCTTTAAATTAAATAAAAAAAAAAATTAAAAAATATTGGAGTAAATAAAAAAATATGATTGAAAATACTGGGAAAATTTCTCATCCGAGTTTTGTCGATTAGAAAAAATTCATTTTGGAAGAAAGGTAATTATTGTCCATTTCAATTTGCAGAAGGTTTTAGAATATTTTTTTTCTTGTCACAATGTTACGATTCATCTTTATTACAAACCACTTTTTTGTGGATATTTTATACTCACATATTGATGTTTTTAAGTGGCGGAATTTTTCTTAGGAAAAATGTTACGATTTATCTTTATTAAAAACCATTTTTTTTACTGTAGATCGAGGGAAGGGAGAATGAGTCGCTCGTGATGGCGGGAAACACTATTCCATGTTGACTGTAGCGCGGAGGGAATAAGAATGAGTCGCTCGCGACTAGTGACGACTATTTATACTCGCCGTGCCGAGAAGTGGGGGGCGGGCGTGATTGGCGCTCGGACCCAAGTGGGCGGAGCGTCCCCACTAGACCGAAGTCAAGTTTCTCGCTCTCTTTCTTCATCTAATGATCACCTACATCATTTGTTCTATAAAAATTCATAGAAAGCAAAGAAATAAAAAATCGTCAAAAAAACTAAAAGAATAAAAAGAAAATAAAAATACCCCAAAAAAAACAACTTAACAGAAACTGTAATCAGTACAAAAAGAAATAAAATTCACAACTGAATAAATACGTAAAGAATTTAAATGCAAAGAAAAACGACTACAAAATTTAAAATCAAACTAAAACCTTATAATTACTTTTCACTAATGTTGCTCCGGGCAATTAAACTTGCAAATTGTGATTTTTAGAAAACATGAAAAGACAAATCTGGAAAAAATTGAGCAAATAAAAAAAGAAGCAGAGAGCTGAACTTAAATAGGCAATTTGAGACGGAGAAAACTTTTTTTCTACTTCTATATAACAATATTACCACTAGAATATTTAAACGAATCTGCAATACACGTAACGAGTGTGTTCATAGTTAAAATGAAGGTAAAAACGAACAAGTTTCAAAAGTATATTTTCCTTTTAGAAAAAAATGTTCGTTGAAGAATCTTAAGGCTTAATTAAAGAAGGAAAGTACAAGAGAGTTACTCAAGTGGAAGAATATCAAGCTTATTACCGCATAGTAAAAAAAAATCGCCAGGCAACTCTTTCTCTCTCACTCACACCAACGTGTACACGATCGATATTATGCACTTGCTATTATAATTTCACTTGAAACATGATTTTTCAGTGCCTAATTAAATACTCGTTTCTTTTGTATAAAGCCGACACATTTATTAATATTGTAAATAAAAATATACTCACATAAAAGTGTATATATATATATATTTAAATATTTGCATATTTATATATATTTATAATTTTATATATGTATATAAAAATATAGGTTTACTTAAAAAGTACGTATTTACTAAAAAAGTAAACAAATGTACGTGAATATAAATGTGTAAATATAGTGTGTGTGTGAATATTTGTGTATAAATATATACACATTGTTTGTTATATTTACACAAGGCCACTTGCACACGTAACACGTTAACTAAACTACCTGTATGGTTGTAAAACAGAAGAGACTGCTGTTTCAAAGGCTAACTCTATAGAGGAGCACTTGGACCAGGATAATTGGATAACACCGGGAATGTAGTGATGCTATCAGGATCTACATTCTGCTTTATTCATAAGACTTTCCATCGCGATCATAAAAGACTATTATCGGACACAACAGCTGCAATACCATAATTTGTAGAACGAAATTTCATCTCTCTAAATTATTATACTACCTCATGCAAATGTATTTTCGTATTATTAAAATGCAAAACAATACTCTGTTTTAAAAGTATTACGAAAAATTCCTAATAAACCTTTTTAATCCATTTTATAATATAAATTTTAAAAAATGAATGTTTTTAATTGTTAGGCTTTGGTAAATTAAAAATATTACTTCCTCATAGAGGATATATTTTTATTTTTAATTGCTATGTGAGGTAAATATTTTTTTCGATTTATTTCTTATAATGTTAATTGTTGCATTGGATTTGGTTGTTAATTAATTCACAAAATGGCGTTTATTAATTAATGAAGCCGATTGAATATAGTATGTTAATTATAAACACAAAGAACACGCATGTATAATTTATGTATGAAATGGAATAAATTACCAGAGAGTGTGAACTTGAAACAAATTTGCCAAAATCCGATACTAAATTACTTAATTTTCCCCACACGTTTCCATAATGTGACATTTGGTCAATAGTTTTTGTTTATTCAATGCTGAAAATTCGTTTCGCAAGAACATAAATGTTTATATTTACCGTCTTTCTTAATTTTTTAAAAATATTTAGGATTATTAGATAATAATATTTCTTCTTTAAATAATTAAATAGTAACTATATCCGTTTTTCCGCCTGGATTTTGGACGAAAAATGTTTTAAAACGTCACACGAATTCTTATCGAAGTTTTAACACGAAATCTAAACGAATTCCGAACAACATTCGTACGAATCATTTTCATCTGGGATTAATTTTTTCATTTCTGAAATGCTTAATTTTTTTTGTAGTCGGAAGTGGAAAATCTGCAAAAGTTCAGATACCTGGATTAAATCCAAGATTAGATGGCGATGATATTTGGAACCTTCCGCAGTGAGCGTTGGGACTGGACTGAACTGCTCGGGCAGCGCGCTAGGCTTATATAGTCAGCAGGCCCTCGGGCCGGATTGGTCGGCTGAATGGAGGGAGGGGGTCGCAACTGCGCTTGCGTCAACACGACCGTCTTACTCTTTTCCATTGCTACGAAATGCCGCGCTTTTCGAAAAATACTTTAATAAAAAATGAATAAAATATAAAATAGTAATAATAATAATAAACAATAATAAATTAAAAATAAATTAAAAAATACTTTTCTTATACTTTATTCACGAAATAAAAAAAAAATTAACCCTGTATACTTTTATTGAATTTTTTTTCGCGTGAAAGAAAACTTTTCCCCAAGAACTTTATTATATAGCATGATCATAAATGACCGTAGGAATGTTTATTATTTTCTGGAGTTCGTTGAATGCTTTAGGCGATGATTGTCACGAGGAAAATAGAGAGACGTCAAAAAGATAATACGAATGTTTAATAAAAGAAAAAAGAATGAAGGTTTTCCTGACATAAAATGACATAAAATCATCTTTATGTGACGTAAAAAAAATTTGTTTTGCAAATGAAATTCTTTTAGTTGGCAATATATACTTCTGGTCTGTGTGCGGGACTTTTCAGGGGGTAGAAAAAAAAGAAAGAATCATGAGATAGGTTTATTTCCCGCGTGCTGGTAAATCTAGACACGGCACCATTAAATCTTCTCGTCGCTGAAGATATCTTGCTATCGCAGCTTAATTTTCAGCAACGTCACTAACTCTAGCTTCAAAACTTATATCTTCCCTTTATCATTATTATATTTTACAAAACCAATTTACATCTCACAATTTTCGCCTCATTTTTAAATATTGTCCATCGCTTTTCTTTTCTCTTTTGTATCCGGACAAAAAATTCTAATTGCAACTTGA